ATAGTCAAAATCAGCATCCTGGGTCAGCTTGGCAAATTTTGAAAACTTCTGTTGGAGGAATTGGCAGACTTTTTTTATGCCTTTAGGAATCAGGAAACTATGAGTCTATTAAAAACTTGAAAGCCCAACCAGAATTAACTTGGAAGAAGGGGGTTTCTATGACCTAGACTGGACCACAAATTTGCAGTTTCACCATCTAAAAATTGTAAAATAAAAATCATGCATTCTACCCTGTGATGGTGGCTCAGCTTGGTGGTAGAACATTTGCTTGGTATACAAAATGTCCATGGTCAGTGTCTGACATCTCCAGGTAGAACCCTTTGAGAAACGTTTGCTTTTATTCCCAGAAAGCTGCTTTGAGCCCTCCCAGTCCTTCAGTTACAATTCCCAGCATCCCTGGCTGGGATTTTGGGGAAAAGATTGCAGTTGGCAATGTGTGATTAGGGGCTGGATTCAATGTAAGACAACTCCCCCTGTTCCTGGAACCATCAGCCATGGATGATTTTGGCCACCTCTAACTGGTTTGTAGTGCAAGTGTTTTCTGCTTCAGATGAAAAGTCTCAGCCCAGGGATTCTCTTCTCTTCTAGCCAAATCTCTGTGGTTGCTGGTGGAAAGGGCAATTGCTCCAAGTTCTGCACCACCGGAATGGATGGTGGCATGAGCCTATGGGATGTCAAGGTAAGCCATGAGGGCCAAACCCCCTTGCAATCCACGGGGAATTGTCAGAGGGCAAGGAAACTTTCTTTTAAGGGGTTGGGATTCGGTCTGTGTCTACAAATCAGTCCCATTTAGGATGATTTGAATGCTTAAATATGAAGTTGGCCCACTGCAAAAACAGAGCATCGAGCTCTAGCATCTCCTGTATTTCCAGTAATAGGTCCCCCTAAATAAAAACAGTGGTTCACTGCAATGCAAGGTTTGACTTAGAGGTATGGCCACCTGTCTAGATAATCTCAAAGGTAGGATGAACTCCCAGCATCCTGGGAGAGTTAGAGGTGGTGATGCATCTTCTGGCAGAGATGCTTGGGTGGGCTCTCCCAACCTTGGCTGTCATTCTGCAAACAGGACAAGCTGCTTCCTGAAGTTGCAACAGGCCCCACAGCTGGCCTCCTATGGTAGCAGGTGACCCAAGCTCCCAGCGTGGGGGTCAGAGGAGCAGAAGACTTTGAGCCTACTCAGTAGGATGACAATCCTTGTCCTCTCTCACCCCTGCTGAGAAGCCCCGTTCCTCTAAAGGACAGGTGCAGAGAAACGCAAGTGCCAGAAGTTGTGCATTATGGTGGGGAGTGCGAGTGTGGTGGAAGGAAGAAGTCACGAGCCTAAATTGCAGTGGAAATCCAACAGTCATGTTCAGTGAGCATTATCTTCAGAACAAGGCTTTCATGGAAATCTGAACCCCTTCATTTCCTCATTTTATTCCTTATTTCCTTCATTTGAACCCCTCCACCACTTCAAGAGTTTTTGGCTTTGTCCGCAGGACGCGAGCTGTTTAAGGATCAGCTTGCCAATTTTTTTTTCTACTTTGGGTGGAATCTAACAATCGGTTGAAGCAGATCCTCTATCTTTGGGATGCGGAGGGGAATCCCCTAAATCCAGTGGCTTTCAGGACTGTAACTTAGGGACAGCCTTATTTGAGAGGAAGCCCTGCTGAAGGCTGCAGGACTTCTGATATTATCTAGGTAGGCTTCTGCTGCACAATGAGAAGAAATGGGATTTAGACGCTGAATGGTTCACTTTAGTATTTATTTCAGGGGGAAGCAGCTGCCTCCAATTTTCACCAGGCCAGAGAAACCCCTTTCAGACTACAAAACAACCCCCCACAAAAAAAAAACAGCATTCAGTGGAAATCTGGTAGAAAATTGAGGCCGGAAAGGGTGTTGAGATTATCACAGGCAAATGGAAGATGGAAAAATTTTCATTCCACGTTTTAAGTCCCAACTTGAGCCAAAGAAGAGGGGAAAGTGGGGGGGAAACAGGTATTACAGATTGATAGTGTTGTGAATTCAGGGTAAAGTCACCTTTGATCCCAGTGGATCCATTTCTAAGTAAACTGATGTCTGCTGCCCAAGTAGAAGTCTCTTTCTTTTGTGTTTCAGACCCTGGAGGCTGCAATGAAGGGCCTCCACATCAAATAAGCAGACGTTTCTCCCTGCATAAAATCCAGCGAGCACAGAGATTCCTGCCTTCCAAGGAAATCGAACAAAGCTTAATCCGTTCCTGCTGTCAAGAACCTTGAAAAGACAATCCCACATGCTACAAGCTCCAGACTTTCTTGAGGCCTTTTGGGCAGAAACCCAGAGGGTGAAAAAATAAAGTACATGCAATTAAAAACAAACTCTCGGTTCTGGGTTGGTCATTGGTCAGGGTTCTTTTCTTCCCTGCAGTCAAGTCAGCCTTTCTCAGAATTTACTGCCTTGCTTTCGGACCTTATTGGCATGATTTCAAATTTTGGAATTCCGCAGCCAGCTTGGCAGGATCCTGGGAACTGAAGTCTGTGCGGCTGGAGGGCAGATCAGGTTTCTATCTAAGGAAAAGAGGACTTAAGACAATTTGTCAGGTTGTGTTCGAGGGGTGCCCCAAGGGCGTAAAAGGCTTTTAAGGCCGATTTACACACGCAGATTAAAAAAAATGCCATTTTTCTTCCTGCCACCTGCATCCATGGTCCAGGGTTTGCGAGAAGGGGTAGAAAATTCTGCTTCTTCACTACCGTTTTGACTGGCAGGAGTAGCCTGCAAGTCTTGGCAGAATTTCAGTGTGTAGCAAAGAGATCTCTCCTTGAGAAGCCCCCTCCCACCATTTTTCAGACTTTGCTAGAAAAGGAGTGACCCCCCCCCCGGTAGTCTTAAGCCTACTGTTGCTTCTACTTTGCTAAAAGGAGTACGTGGCATCTGGATTTCCCCCGGAAGCTAGACTGTGCCCCCACACTTTGGAAAGGAAGAATCCCAGGCCTTTTCAAGCTGAGAAAAACGGGTATTTTCATCTGGCCGCCTCCTGTGCGAAAATCCTCCTGGTGCTTAAATCGCTTCAAGCTTGTGAGAAGTAAGCCTTTTGGAGTTTTTTTTCCTTAGTAAAAGGGGAAGAAGTGAGTCAACGCTCCACCTATCCGCTCTTCCTTCCGACATGGTGACAGCAAGCAGAAATGGATTGAAATGCCAAAGGACCTGCGGGTAGAAAATCTCCCTGCTTTGGCATTTTAGGTGACTGAAGAATGTATTCTACAGGCCAGGCAGCCCCTTGGGAAGAGCACCAGACCAGACTGTTACGATAATTTAAATTTTATTCAGCCAAATATACAGGTTTTTGTTTCTCGTCTGCCTCTGTTCCAAGAAGATGCACAATCAAGAAGAGCGTTTCTCTGGTTTTCGTTTTGCCAAAGTTTTAAAAAGTCACTATCCATTTCCAGAGGAGGAGGAAAGAAATGAAAAGGACGGCTTAAAAAAAAAAATAACGGGGCGGGGAAGAGAAAAACCAAATAGCCAGAGGGCTAGATAGGGCCGAGGATTCCACACACCACCCCCTTGCTGTTCACTTCCCTGGGCTGTTCTGCAGTCAAGGGCCTATTACGAAGCGCATGGTGTTCCCCCCTCCCCACTTTGGAATTGCATCTACAGGGGTCAAAGCTACCAACCCTCACCCCTTCCCCAATCTGCCTAGTTCCCTGAAAGCTAGCTGAAAGCATTCCACCCCCTCCCCATCAAATCTCCCGCGTCGTTTTGCCTCCCTCCCTTTCGGCCACCGGAGAGGCGATCTGAAATCGAAACACGTCGAACCGTTCAGCCGGCGGCGTTTCCCTCCCGAAACGGTCATTATATGCAACCGTTAGCCATTCTCACGATCCTGCGCCAAAGGTTAAGAGTTCCCGGATCCCCCCCTTTCCCTCCCTCGCCTGCCCCCCCCCAATAACCCCATGGAATTCTGTGCCCAGATGAAGACAAACATGGAGCGGTCAGTTTCGCTTAAGAGGTGACGGTGACGTCGCTGCTGCCGTGCTCCTCCTGCAGCCTCTCTGGGAAGTGACGCCGCAGCGAGTCCGAAGGGTGCCCCGCCGAGCACGGTCCCTGGGATTTCCCTCCTCTCGGGTGGCCCGCGCTTACTTGTTGAGGGAGAGGGACTGCATCCTTTTGCCTGCCAAAGCCGCTTCGTCTTTAGCTGCGGTGTAAACCAGAGGAGGAAAAAAACCAGAGAGCTGAATAATAATAATAATAAAAGCAGCAATGACGGATTACATTTATACGCTGCCCAACTCCCAGCAACTCTGGGCGGTGGACAAATTGTTAAAAACATTTAAAAGCAAGTAATAATGGGGGGAAACCCCCCACAAAAACAACACCAAGCAAAGGAACAGGGATGGCAGAGAAAACCAACCTGGAGGGGAACAGAAAGACCAGATTGTGGGAACGTCGCTTCCCTTCCTTAGGGCTCCTGAAGCCTCACAGGAGCGCCATCCCACTTGAACATCAGCCTGGGTGTCCCCTCCTTACCTCTCCTCTCCTCTTCCTTCTTTTTGGCGGCCTCTTCCCTCTGTTTCCGGATTATGGCTAGCCGGGCGAGGTCTGCCTTCGCCTGCTCTGTTTTCCCTGCGAGGTGCATCTTCATGTACCTTTCTTTCGCTTTCTGCTTTTCAATCTCTTCTCTGAAAAGGTGGAGGAGGAACCGTTGGGAAAACATCCAAATAAACGTGGAGCTTTTCAGAGCTCCTCGTGCACCCAGACATGAAGGTCTTTTATCTCGACGGTTGTGACCAGAGTGTGTCAGGTTCATGGGAGGGAACAAAAATAGCCTACATTTCAGTACTGCCTGGCCATACAGTAATTTTTAAAGCTGCAGGAGGGGAAAATGATGAAATACGTGACTGCAAGTCGTCCTACTGAATACACTGATTTTCATTCAATGTAGAGCAGTGTTTCTCAGCCCTGGCCACTTTACGCTGTGTGGACTTCAACTCCCAGAATTCCCTTGCCAGCATGCTCCCTGGGGAATTCTGGGAGTTGAAGTTCACACACCTTTAAGGGGCCAAGGTTGAAAAACACTGATGTAAAGGGAATGAAATCAAAGTGCGTTTTGTCCCACCACCATGCGCTACTTCCAAAGGGTTAAAAAAATCATTATTCCACTTATACCTCCCTCCCAAACACTTGGCTTGCTCCAAGCGGGTTCTGGAAAGAGACTCACAAGCCCAGGACTGCCCACTTCTATCTTAAAGGGAAGGAAATGTCTTACCGTTCTCTCCGCGACAATTCCCTGGGGCTCTCCATGTCTATCTGGGTAACTTTTTTAGCCGTTTGCACAACACGATTGGGATTCTCAATATCGATCATGCCTTCCACTCCTTTGTGCTTTGGCTGCAATTGAAGGACACAATGGACACGGGAGCTGTGGCTGACCCTTCGCGGGGAAAGCCCAGGCTGGGATGCACGCAGAGGGCAAAGGTGTCCCGTGGGCCACCAAATCTGTGCATCCAGTACAGGCGTGCCCCACCAGCGGCATCGTGCTCCAAAAATTGCACAAACCACCCCCATCCTTTGAGCACCACCCGGCTGCGGACCCAGCTTCTGGGCTCCAAAGCGTGGCGTGTGATTAAGACAACTTCCATCTTCTAGCTCAAAGGCAGAGCTGTCTACAGCATCCCAGCTAGCCACCTTTCCATCCAAAGACAACATTTATTTGCTTTTGGTCCCTCCCTGGTAGACTACCACAACTGCATATCTCTAGGCCAGTGTTTCTCACCCTTGGCATCTTGAAGGTGTGCTGGCTGGGGATTTCTGGGAGTTGAAGTCCGCACACCTTCAAGATGCCAAGGGTGAGAAACACTGCTCTAGGCAGTTCACATCTGTAACTCCTCAAATGGGAAAACCACCCAAACGTGTATTAATTTACAGTTTAGCATACAGCCAAAGATATGGTAGGTAAAGTGTAACGGTTTACTCTGAAAAGCTTGTTGGAACACCTTTCTGGAAGATAATTAAAGTGGGGGGGACGCAAGATCTTGCGGGGGGAAGCTGTATGTGTGGTGGGGGAGCGCAGGGCAGCATTACACATATGTAGCAGTTTCGACCGGCTGAATCAAAGCCAGAAGCATCTCATCGCTCCTCTTGGTCCTGCATCAGGGAAGCTAAGCTCCAGCCCCAACCTCTTCCTCTACCTGATAGTCTTCACCCTCTTCTTCCTCGCTCTCATCCGAATCTAGCGATTTCTCCTTCTTCTTGGGTTCTCCAGATGCCCCAGAGCCTCCTTCCTCTTGCTCCTCTTCCTCTTCCTGTGGAAAGGAGAAGCATCACCAAACCAGAGCAGCTGCATGGAAGATTATGGTGGGATCAAAACAGCCGGGAGCGATTCATCTTCACTCAGCAGCTGGGGCGGCTTTCGGCCCGTTACTCTCTCAGACTGCCTGGCCTTGTGGAGGTGTTCAGAGGATTTATTTATTCAACATATATGGCTGCCCAGCTCAAACAAGATGACAAGGGAGAGCCTCCAATTCTCAGCCTCAGCTACCTCACTGTAAAATGGGAGGCAGGGGTAGAGGCATCAACAGGACTGGATGCTTCCTCCAAGGGATGAAAGCGCTATCACATTTTAAGCACCATATGATGTGGCGGGTACAAAAGGACAGGACCATCAGGATGTTGCTTTCATCATTTGCCCCCCCCCCCGCCAATTTGTGGACGTCCCAAGGCCAGATCTCCTTGGAGGAAAAGGGAGGAGAACGAAGATGTTGTTGTTGTAAACATTTCCTCTCGTTCTGGTTGATAAAAAGATGCACCTCTTAAAGGAAAGTTGCCCAGTTCCCTCCTTTGGCTCTGACGGACCCATTGCCTGACACTGTATCAGATGACGATTTTGGAGAAGCCTGGTTCCGTGTTGAGATGGTGTGATATCTACTGCTGTACTCAGTCCCTGAGTGCGACCTCAAGAACCTTGGGTCGACTGCTTGGGGGATCTCTTGGGGCAGTTATGGGAGAGATAAGTACTCTGAAAACTATCACAAACAGGGTTGTCCCCCAGTCTGCAGGAGGGAGGGAGAAGAGGCTTGCCCCAAACAGTCTGGACTTGGTCTCTGGTAGGAAAATCAGGGGCTAGGACTAAAACTGACATTCATCTACCCGCATTTAATATAATGCTTCTGACTGGCACCATCAGAACTTCTAAGGGTACTGGGACTGTAGCTGGTCCCAGTACCTCACACATCTGGTCGGGGCAAATTCCTTGCTTCCAGAGTAGCTGTGGTCTTGCTGAGTGCTTGGCAAGCTCAGCCTCCGGGTCCCTTACCTTGGCCTTCTGCTTCTCAGCCTGGAGCTGGGCATCGATCTCTTCAGGGCTTGTGTATTGTCGTGCTCGGCCTTTATGGCCCCCTTTTTTACCTGCAAGTAAAAAGTGGGTTTAGATTACTATTTCCCCCCGTTCCGCTTCCACTGGCAGGCAGGGCTGGACCCAATGGGACAAAAATCAAGTAACTTCTGAGCTTCAGTTTTTCAATGAAGGAAAGTGAGGAAGCCATCACGAAAGAACTCCACTGACTGCTGGGTTTCAAGAAGAAGCCCCATTTATAGAATCTATCTTCAAACCCTTTGGCACTTCTTTTTTAATGCTCTCCTTATTGACAGGCTATCTGGACAGAGGGCTTATTTCCATTTGTCCCTTGGTTTGGCAATTCTCAGGTCTGTTGTCATGTTGTTTTTCTCTGACTGTGAGAACTAACTCTCATACAGTGTCTCCTTCTCCCTGATTCAGTGGCACTCACTGACCCCTTCTGGGGCTGGCATCTACTCCAGTATCTTGTTTCTAATGAGATATTTCTTCTGGGAAGAATCTAGGGTTTGAGAATAAAGAATCACCACTAAAATATTGCATTAATGAGCTTGACTTCTATGTTTACTCAGCTACAAAGTACCAATCCCTGTGGTCCCCAGAGTTTGGGACACCAACATTCAAAATGAATGATGCATTTTCTAAATAAATCCTGTTGCTTTATCCCAAACCAGCATTTTGGTATCACTGGAGGATCTCCTGGCTGGGTTTGCACAACTCACAAGACGATACAAAAACAGGATCCTCCTCTGCAGCCCAGCATTTTATAGCAACCCAGCCACCGTCTTAGCACATTGCTTGACTTGATCTGCATGGCCGCCCAACTCACCAAAGCAGCCCTTGTGGTGTGAACTAGGAAAGGAATAGTTGGCACTACTATCTGGGGCATTTGGAGTGGCCATCAGTTGATGCCCTCCACTTCTGACCAAAGATAAAACTTATTCCAGATTTGCAAGTACCAGACAATTATTTCTGCTGCTGAAAATAATCTTCAACACCTCACACACACACACAGCTAAAAGCTTTTCCCCATTGTGCTTGTCACTGCCTTGGCAACAGCGGACATGGCATCTGTCCCACAGCAAGGAATCGTGAGCAGCTGTGGGGCAAGGCTCTCCTTTCCATCCTGGGTAGAGCCATACTTGCGGTCTCAGGAAGGGGAGGGCAAGATGGCTTCCCCTCACCATGCGAAAACCCATTTGCTCTGCCTGACTCATGGTCTGGGCTGCGGCTCAACTGCACATTCTCCAGCTGCTGCTTATGCGCAAATCTCCGTGCAACAAGTCATGTGCCCAACAAATCCAGCAGCTATGAAGTGTAAAGAAACTACGTAAGTTCCCAAATAATGCTTGGCAGCAAGGGGCACCTCCTCCTTCAAATCCATTTCCCTCTGTCAAAGAGCAAAAGAGGGGAACCCCCCTCACCTCCCCCCAGCACTTTGGCTAATTTCTCACTGAAGTGATAAAAGAGCATGAGGCAGCTCTCCTTCCTTTGCCTGCATATAGACACCTAGCCTGTGAGAGGCAGGCTAGAACTACTGTATTCAGTTGTTCTTCCTGTGTAAAATAAGGATATGGCACTCTTTTTCTTAAGGAAGATAGGCGGCCGGCGCTCAACCTCAAGGAAGAAAATGGTACCAGGAATGTGTGGACAGAAACATTTCTCTACGGCCCTGGAGCCTCTGACAACCTCAGGACAGTTGTTTGAGCTCAAAATGGAATGCTTCAAGTAGGAAGTCTTTTGAATTTGAAATGCTTCGCACATCTTGACTTAGCATCCATTTTCAAACCATCTTCTAGAATTCACTCCTCTGAGAGGCTGACATTCACACTGGTGCGGAAGTGAAGGAGAGACCTCTGCTTCCATCCCACGTAAGTTGCTTACCTTACACAGCAGTCTGGCAATTGCTGTGAAAAACCACATAGGATTACCCCAGCCTTTTCCAACCTGGGTAGCCTCCAGAGGTACTGACTTCAGTTCCCAGAATTCCCAGCCAGCATGGTCACTGCTGAGAATTTTGGAAGTTACAGCCCAACAAATCTGGAGGGCAGTGATTAGGAAAGGTTGACCCAAACTGTCTGCCTCAATCCTATACTTCTTGGTCACATCTGCAGTGGTGAGAGAGCACCAAACATCTATTGTGCTTCATGGACTAGCTTGCCCATCTCTCCATTTATTTATTTATTTTTCAAATTTGTCACCGCCCAGAGTTGCTCTGTAGTGAGATGGGCGATGATAAATTTGAAATATAAATAAACAAAAGGAAGGATGGGCAAGCTAGTCCATGAAGCATGATGGAAGATGTTTGGCACTCTCTCATCACTCCAGTCAGGCAATCAGGCTCACTTATTATTATTTCTAAATCTCACGATCAACTTCTGTACATGCGCAGAGGCTTCAATGTGACTAGCATTACATCAGAGTCATAACAGAGTGTTTCCTTCACAAAGAAAAATTAGCTTGAAAAATAATACATTTCCAGGAATAAAACTGAAATAAGCAAAGCTGCATTCATCTTCCAAAGGCAGCCTTTTCCATCATGGGTCCCCTGCAGATGCTTTGGTGCTCCTCTTTCATGTCTCTGACTCTTGCCGATGCCGGCTGAGGCTTCACGGAAGCCATAGGTCAACCTTTCAGGAGGAACCCACGCTGGAGAAGGTACTTTATAGCCCTCCATTCCTGTCTCTTCCGCTTTTTGCAACTCAACCATCAGCGGAAGCAGCTGGTTTCCAGTATAAGACAGTCTTCTCCCATCATCATCCACCCCCCATGGAAAGGCCTGTGGGAAAAAAGGCTGTTTGTGGAATCCTTGGGGTTCTCTGAGCTTGGTTGTTTTCTTGTAGACGTGTCATTACCTGTCTAGGTAACATCTTCAGTGCTAGAAGGGAGTGGTGTTTTCTCTCTCTTTATATACAGTAGGCTCCCCTGTCATTGTTGGAGGGGGTGTTGTTTTTTCTTGGTAATTCCTAGATTAGGCTGTTGTTTACTGCTTGATTGTTTGTCTGGTGTTAATCCCTGCTTATCGGAGTGTTGATTGCTGGCGAGGAGGCATTCTGGCCTTTGCTCTTTATTTCCAGAAGCCGATACATGAAAGATGGGCAGGGGCAAGGAAATGTTGGAGAAGGGCTCTATCCCATGCACGCAAAAGCCCTTTTGGTTCCCCCTGCCCACCCTCCTGCTTCTAGCACATCCACAAGCCAGGCTCAAATCCAGGGGCCAGACACCCTCCCCCAGGGCTGGAAGGGGAAAAGGTGGAAACAAGACGAGAAAAAATAAAGAGGAGGAGGGAGAAAAGCATCACGAAGCGGCTGCTTCCGAAGAAGGTGCCTCCGCGGCCCGATGGGGCCTTTCC